TTATTACATTTATTTCCAAGACATTTAACCTTTTACCCAAGAAGCTTCTTTAGTTTTTAACTGAAATCATGAGATGGTGTTCAAAAGAACCATTTTCCAGGAAACCAAATTAAACAAGTTCAGTTCCTTTGTCTTGTTTTTACATTTGAGATAAATATAAACAAAGTCAGGACCACGTTTTTTTACACTGCAGAAAGAGTGTAAAACATAAAAAGTCCCAGATTCATAAAACATCTGCAGAATGCTCCATAATCACAGCCTGCAGGACTGGAACCTCTGCAGGAAAACATTCAGCTGAGGCCCTTCCTGTAGAAAACTGTGTCCAAACCGTGTGCTCCAGCCTGACTTCCTGTCTAACACAACTTCCGGGTATTTGTGCTCTCGCCCTATCTTCACCATCTCTTCCCTGGAGGAAAAGGCAATCTGGATGTAGAAACATGTTTTCATGCTGACACTAAGATTACAGTGGAAATGAATAAAAAGCTGTGAATTGGTTCACACTAATACCAAAGGAGTGACACAAGGCATAAAATCACTGAGCCTACTGACATGTTATTAATTGTGTAAATGAATAAAAGTGTCATGATCTGTATTTATTCTCCTTGGTTTTCTAGTGTTTCTGTGTTCTCCTGTGTTTCTCTCACGTGCTGTCATTCCTCTAGCCCCGCCCATGCTCACCTGTTTCCTCTTGTGTCTCCTCCAGGTGTTTCTTGTTGTCCTTAATTAGTTTACTTTTATATTCTGTGTCCTGTCTTCAGTGTTTGTCCGTTTATTGTGCTGACTGCCTCAGCTGGTGTGGTGTCTCTGTGTTCCTCGTGTCTGTTCTTCCTAGAAGATTCTCGTGAGTTTTTTGCTGCCTCGAGAGCCATTCTTTGWTTAATAAAACCTTTCCTTTTGAACTTTGGATTTTTTGCCTGCGCCCTGGGTTTTTCCTCTGCCTACACCTAACAAAAAGTACATTAAGATGTATTTCTTTATGATTAAGTCTACATTTTCATGCCTTGTGCCTCACACCACATATTTAGATGTCTAAAATCCCAAATTTTGGATTGGCTCTAGTTTTAATTTAATCTGCAGGGCGAAAGGTTTTTCTGATGTGTGAGTTTAATCTCAGCAAACCTAAAAAAATCATGTCATAAATCACAATGTTAACTGAGAAGATTTCAGTCAACTACCTGTGACCTTTGTAACACAACTACAACCAATGCATTTCTGCTGAAATGTCAAGATTCACGAACAAGGCAGCAGAAGTTAAAAATAGCCACGATTTATAATTGTAAACCTCTAAATTTACWATTTGTATAAACAACTGTATGTTTGATTTGAGGTCACAAAGTGACAAAGTAGTCCCTGAAAACTATAGTTTCTGAAAACCTCAGTATCTGCAGAGGCACTGAAATCAGAGCTCCACACACACACGCCTGTACATCATCAACTAATTAGCACACCTGTTTCCTTCTGATATCAACCTCTTTGCTGTTTCCTCAGTCCGGGGCTTTTCTGTCTGCTGTGCTTTTAATGGTTCTTATCATTTTGTTAATTTATTGTCTTATTTTGAATTTTGCGATTAATGATTAATTTTTGAGATTWGGCTTGTTTAAAATCCACATTTTTTAKCCATTAACTTTGTAGGAGTGTAGAAAAGTTTGATCRAGTCTTTCCTGGTGCTGATTGGATATTTTTATTTTCTGTATGGGTCATAGTTTTCAACACACTACATCACAGCAAAAATGCCAGTGTTAATTTAACACCCACAGTGTTAATTTCAACACCAGCAAAGTGTCTATATGTGTCCACACTTGCTGGAGTTAAATTAACATTTGTGAAAACGTTAAATTTTGACACCCATGTTTTTTTGTTAATTTAAAACCAGCCAGTGATTAATATTCAACAATATTGGGTGTCACAGTTAGTTAGTTAGTTTAGTTAAGTTTATTAATTTCTTTAAAAACAACAACAT